CTCCAGGGGCAGGATGGCCTTGATGCTTTGATGGCCTTCACTAAGGTTTGGAGAGCACTTAGAGATCTGTGGCTGGAAAATGAGATGCAAATGCTCAGTGTTAGCATTAACAGTGGCAGGGAAATGCAGGATTTGGGGAAAAGCTGGAGCATGACCTGTTTTTTCTGCTTTTGAATGAAGTTTGTAGCTCACTTGAACTGCTGCAAAGCTGGGGGTGAAGTGCTGCCCACCCGCAGAGGAAAAGCTGAAGGCACTTCCTACACAAAGCCTTTGGTTTTGGGGTGAAATCACCCCTGAAAAGGAGAAAATAACCTGCTTTAGACACTGCCTGGATAAAGGAGTCCAGAGGCTGAATGGCCTCAGGGTCTGTTTTTAAAGAGATTTTCTTTTTGTGGAGAAGGCAATGGCAGGAGAGGAGGTGTCAAACTTCAGACTTTTGCCAGAGTCCTGTTTTTTGGGTTAAAACTGTTCATGAGCTAAAATGAGGTGATTGTTCACTGAGGACAAGATAAGAACATGATAACAAGATAATCTGATACACTGAGCAAATCAAGATTTATCTCCCCAAAGGGGTTGATGTGAGAGCAACTCCTGATTGGGAGTTTTGGCTGCTGAAGTTTGAGATCTGGATTTAGATGTGGTTTGTTTTTTTTTTGTTTGTTTGTTTGCTCTTTTTTTTCCCACTGGGATGTGTTTAAATTTTATTTGTTTATACCCTTTTTAAAGCACAGCCTGTGAGAGCAGAGCAAGCCTTGTCACCCAGGTACTGATCATTAAACAGAGCTGGACACAGGGTACAGAGAGAAAAGCTTGACTTCCAATAAACCAGCTCGAAGAGAAAGACAATCCTGTTTTATGTGAGCTCTGGGAGCTCAAGAGCAGCCCTGGGAGAAGGACTTGGGGGTGTTGGTGGAGGAGAAGGTGGAGATGCCCCAGCCCAGAACTCCCCCCATGCCCTGGGCTGATCCCACAGAGGGGGCAGCAGGGCAGGGAGAAAATTCTACCCCTGAGGTGAAACCCCCCTGCAGAGCTGCCTCCAGCCCTGGGAACAACATTCCTGAAGGATGTGGAGCTGCTGGAGAGAGTCCAGAGGAGGCCCTGGAGCTGCTCCCAGGGCTGGATCCCTCTGCTCTGGAGCCAGGCTGGGAGAGCTGGGAATGTTCCCCTGGAGAAGAGAAGGTTCCAGGGAGAGCTGAGAGCCCCTTGCAGGGCCTAAAGGGGCTCCAGGAGAGCTGGAGAGGGACTGGGGACAAGGCCTGGAGGGACAGGACACAGGGAATGGCTTCCCAGTGGAATATTAGCTGGGATATTGGGAAGGAATTGCTGTCTGGGAGGGTGGGGAGGGGCTGGAATGGATTTCCCAGAGAAGCTGTGGCTGCTCCTGGATCCCTGGAAGTGTCCAAGGCCAGGCTGGAGCAACGTGGGCTAGTGGAAGGTGTCCCTGCCCATGGTTTGGAGCAAGATGGTCTCTGCAGTCCCTTCCAACCCAAACCATCCTGTGATTCCTGTGAGAAAATGATCTCAAATTCGGTGTTTAAACCAGTCAGCTGTTCACTGACCACGACAATCTGAAGTCAGGAGATCTCAACAGGGGCTGAATTTCAAGGGCAGCTCCAACTCCACAAGCCAATGGTTCATCTTTCCTTTTCCTACCTACAGACACCACACGACCACCTTCAAAACTTCCCAAATCCTTCACCTTCAAAACTTCCCAAATCCTTCCCGGTGCATAATAACCCCTTCTCTGTCAAATATGCAGAGGAGCTGAGGAGCTCCACGAGGGAAAAGGATGAAAGGGGATGTTCCATCTGCACCTGACAAGGCAAGAGAAGCGGGAGAGGGAAAACCCGACTTCCATTTTCATATAAAACCCATTTAAAATGGACTTGCCTTCCACAATAAATTCACCCTCTCCCGGCAACTCGAATCCTTAAAGGGTTATTGTGAAAAAGAAGTTTGTATTCCCTCAGAAGACCCTTCTGATGGGTTTGGGAAATACAAAATCCAATTGTGAGGGAGTGCAGATAAGGGAAGAGCTGTGGGAGAGCCATCAGCTGAGCAAACACTAAATAATGAAGAATGCAGAGGCTGCTCCCAGCGTGACAAAACACTCCATTAGCAAGTCTGCTGCTCAATGAGTGATAATTGGGGCACGTCCACAGCCAGGGGTTATTGGATTTTTATCTCTGGGAAGGGGCCTTTTGACAGACTCACCAAAAAAAGCCAGGATTTCCTTGCTCAGGATTTCCCAAAACCTGCTTAGGATTTCCCAAAACCTGCCCAGCTCCACCTGGAGCTCCTGAATATTTATAGCTGTGCCCAGAAATTGCCCTTTTCTGGGAAAAAATCACGATTTCTTTGCAGGGAAAGGGACTCAGGGCCACCACCACCACAGCATGGACTGGTTGGAGATCACAGGATTTGTGGCACTGCACCAAAAATTCTGGTTCTGATCCCTCACTAAACGTTTGGATGATGCCCTGAGCGGGACCAGGATTTAATTTCCAGTTGCTGGGACAGAAAAGACAAAAGGATCAAAGAGCTGGATGGGTGTTCTCATCCTGCAGGGAAGATAAACCCCCAGTTAATGAAATTACTGCTCTTGTTCAAGCACAAACACTTCAGTGGAATAGCTGGGCCAAGGAGAAACAGAAAGCAGAAGGCAGAGCTGCTCAAAGGAATACAAAAAAGTGCCACCTGCCCAAAAAGCAGGATGGGTGACATGTTGGTTTGTGCAAGAGGAACCAATCCCAGTTGCACTGAACTGGAATATTTGGGATTAAAGTTACTGTGACAAAAATCCCCTTTATTTAGAATCGGAGAATCCCAGGATGGTTTGGGTTGGGAGGGACTGGAAAACTCCTCTCATGCCATGGGCAGGGACACCTTCCACTATCCCAGGTTGCTCCAACTTGACCTTGGACACTTCCAGGGATGGGAACTCCACCACCTTCCAATGCCTGACCACCCTTTCCAGGAAGAAATTCCTCCTGTTTTTCCTTTTGGAGTTAATGGCTCTGCTGGAAACCTTTCCCTGGGTCAGACTTAGATTATAACCCCAAGGCCAGACAGGGATCATCTCATGGAATCATGGAGTCCCAGGATGGTTTGGGTGGGAAGGAACCTTAAAGTCCATCCAGCACTGCTCGTTCTTCCCCTCATTCCAGATACTCCTGGAATTGTACAGACGTTTTACTAGGAAGTTATTCCAGAGGAAGATGGATTTTTCTCGTCAGGAGGAGGCTGCCAAGTGAAATATTCCACTCTGTGCTTTTATGTTTATTCACTGCTGCGTGGAAGGGCCCCTCACCAAGCCTCAAAGTCCCCTTTAATGTCGGGGAAATATTGATTTATTTAAAAAAACCAAGGGTTTCAACCAGAGCTGAAGTTATAAATGATGTTTTATTTTAACAGCTCTGACTGTTACAACACAAATATTGCACCCCAAGAACCCTCTCAGTAACTAAAGATCTGTGAATAAATATTTGGCTGCTGAAGTTTGAGGGCTGGATTTAGGTTTTTTTTGTTTTGTTTTGTTTTGTTTTGTTTTTTTGTTTGTTTGTTTGTTTGTTTGTTTTTTGTTTGATCTTTTTTTTCCCACTGGGCTTCGTTTAAATTTTATTTGTTTATACCCTTTTTAAAGCACAGCCTGTGAGAGCAGAGCGAGTCTTGGCACCCAGGTACTGAGAACTCAAAATATGGGTTTGGAATATTGGAATATTAAAGCTCCCCAGAATAATTTGGGGCTTTAATTGTTAACTGATTGTATAATTTTAATTATCCTTCCAGAGCCCAACGAGCTGAGCACGGACAGCTGGAATAAACGGGTTAAATGTCCTGTTCTAGAGCAGATTTAGGAGCCATGGGAAGGATTTTCACTCAACCAGAGATGTTTTGCTGTCAGGGGACAATGATTTTAATGGACAAACACCACCACGATTTATTCAGCGCCAGCAAATTTCCCTCATCATTTCCCAGGAATAAAAAAATTCCCAGCTCCCATCAGAGCTCAGGAGCCCTGGCTGCCCACAGCCCTGGGCACCTTCCCAGGAAGTGGAAAGTGTGGAAAGGTCTTTGAGAGCTGGAAAGATCTTTGTGGTCTTTGTGGAAAGACTTTTGTGGTCTTTGTGGAAAGGCCTTTGAGAGCTGGAGAGATCTTTGAGGTCTTTGTGGAAAAACCTTTGTGGTCCTTGTGGAAAGACCTTTGAGGTCTTTGGGGAAAGATCTTTGAGAGCTGGAAAGACTTTTGTGGTCTTTGTGGAAAGACTTTTGTGGTCTTTGTGGAAAAATCTTCGAGAGCTGGGAAGACCTTTGAGGTCTTTTTGGAAAGACCTCTGAGAGCTGAAAAGACCTTTTTGTGGAAAGACCTTTGAGAGCTGGAAAGACCTTTGTGGTCTTTGTGGAAAGACCTTTGTCTTTGTGGAAAGGCCTTTGAGAGCTGGAAAGACCTTTGAGGTCTTTGTGGAAAGACCTCTGAGAGCTGGAAAGACCTTTGAGGTCTTTGTGAAAGATCTTTGAGATCTGGGAAGTCCTTTGAGATCTTTGTGGAAAGACCTTTGAGAGCTGGAAAGACCTTTGAGAGCTGGAAAGTCCTTTGAGGTCTTTGTGGAAAGACCTTTGAGAGCTGGAAAGACCTTTCTGGTCTTTGTGGAAAGACCTTTTAGAGCTAGAAAGACCTTTGAGAGCTGGAAAGACCTTGGTGGTCTTTGTGGAAAGACTTTTGAGAGCTGGAAAGATCTTTGTGGTCTTTGTGGAAAGACTTTTGAGGTCTCTGTGGAAAGGCCTTTGAGAGCTGGAAGTGCTGCTCCTGTCGCCCTCCAGTGCAGAGGTCCCACCCCAGCACCCATGAGGAAGAAAGACACGAAGCTGCTTCTCCTCCTGCTTCCCTCTGACACGAACCCGCTTCGGAACCGGCGACAAAAAGCGCCCAAAACTGCTCAAATTTCACATTTCCGCCGCTCCAGCTCCAAGGCAAAGGCTCTGCCACGGGAGATACTTACTCTGGGAGGTGGAGAGGCTGGAGAAAGCTGCCTTGGTGCGCCCTGCCAGCCACTCCAGGCTCTCGTGCATGTTGGCCAAGGCCTTGAGGTCGCTGACGTCGCGCAGGATCTCCTGCTGAGGGATCAGTTTGTCGCCCAGGTTGCCGATGAGAACTTCGGATTCTTTGCCGAAAGCGGCCCTGAAACGCAAAGCAAAGCCACCCTCAGGGACACGGGACCACGGGACAGGGAGGGGAGACATCAGTGTGATTAATTCAGCTCTGCTTATTAAACCCAGGCTCAAGGCCTGGCTCAACAGGGCACATCAACTGCCCTGGGAATAAAGCAAATTCCAAATAAATGAAGGGCCTTTCCTCACTGTCCGGCTGTTTCTCCGTGGAGCTCAGCGTTCCTTATTCCCACGTTTTGTCCCCATTCCCACGGGATTTGCCAGTGCTGCAATAGGGGGTCACTTAAATCCCTGCTTTGTCAGACTTAATCCCTGGCTTAACTGAGCTCCTCGTTGGGTTTCCCTTTGTTAAAAAACCATCTTAATTTCTCCATCATATTTTTTTAACATTCCCAAACACAGCTTTATATCCGCCCAGTTTTCATGGATGATCCCAAGGCTACGTGGCACATTCTTGGCACGGTGCCAGCAGGGATGGGGGGAGAGGTCTCTGTCCTGGTTTCCCGAAGAATTATTGAGGTTGGAAAAGACTCCAGGATCAGGAGTGCCACCATTCCCACTAAACCATGTCACCAAGTGCCACATGGGATGGTGATTCCAGCACTTCTCTGGGAATTCTGCAGGCACACCCTAATGGCCCTAATGATGTGATTTAGGAACATCCTAAATCTTGTTAAACAAGGCAGGGGCTGCTGTTAAATCCTTGTGGAGAGGCTGGAAGTGTTGTTATCCCTGGGAAGTGTGGAAATGTTATCCCTGGAAGTGTCCAAGGCCAGGTTGGACGGGGCTTGGAGCAACCTGGGCTAGTGGGAGGTGTCCCTGCTCGTGACAGGGGTGGAATGAGGTGGAATTAAGGTCCCTTCCAACCCAAACCATTCTGGAATTTTATGATTTCCAGGATTTTAAGCTGAAATTCCACGTTTCTGCTCTGCATTCTCCCACTCCATCCCTAAGACAGAATTTAGGGGCACAGACTTTACCCCAAATATTTCTGGGGTATTTTTGGGGTGTTTTTTGGGGTGTTTTGGGGGTATTTTTGGGGTGATTTTGGGTGTTGTTTTTAAGGTGTTTTCAGGGTATTTTGGAGGTACTTTTGGGGTGATTTTGGGGGTATTTTAGGGTGATTTTGGGGTGTTTTTCAGTTATTTCGCGGGTATTTCTGGGGTAAGGTTTTTTCCATGATTTTGGGGAGTGGTTTTGGGGTACTTTTGGAGCATCTCTGGGGTATTTTGGGGTGTTCTGGGGTATTTTGGGATGCTTTTGGATGTATTTTGGGGGTGATTTTGGGGCACTTATGGGGTATTTTTGGGGTGGGTTTTTAGGGCGACTTTGGGAGGTGTTTTTGGGGTATTTCTGGGGTGGTTTGGGGGTTATTTTTTGGGGTACTTTTGGGATAAATTCAAAGGCAAAGGTGGAGATGAGGATTAAACTGATGAATCCCAACTCAGGGACAGCTCTGTATCCTCCTTCTTCCACTTTGAAAAGCCTGGCAAAGCTGCTCATCCCTGCTGCTGGATGAGCAAACATTCCTGTGACTCGACAGATTCCCTCCTCTCTCCAGGCTGCATCATCCCAAGATTCTGAGCCCCCACTCAGGGAACAGGGAAAATGCCAGTCTGGGCAAATCAGACCTGTTATTTCCAACAGCTTCACTCCCTCCTCCCATTTCCCAGCCAAATGCCAATCAAGGAAGTGATGAAAAGCAATGGGAATGTGCAGCCAGGCTTTTTTGACTCCCTGGAATCACAGAGGAGCTGTTCCTTCAAGGAATTCAGAGCCTGAGCCATTCCCAGTGGGCAGGGAAAGGCACAATCTGCCTTCTCAAAGTTTTCGCTTGCCTGGAAAGGTGGAAATAATCTGTTTTGGAGACAACAAGTTGCCTGTGAAAGAACCCCCTCTGGAGGCACCAGAATTTCTCCTTTGACTCGTTTCATTTTTTATTTTATTCATTTAATTTTTCATTGGATTCATTTGATTGGATTTTTCATTTGGGGTTGGGATGGAGGGAAAACCCCGCCAGGTCATGGCTCCAATGGGAAGACAACTTTGGCAACACCAGTTTTGGGGATTCCTGCCCAGTACAACCAGTTGGCCCCTCCCTCAGGTTGCATTTGCTGCTCTCTTCATCTCCTGGGTGATCAGAGCAGAACCATCAAGCAGGACAAGGATCTCTGGGAATTAAACCCAATCCTTTCTTTCCTTCCCCAATCTCAGCCACTCCCCTGACTGGGATCACAGGCATGATTCCTCGAATAGCCTTGTCTGAACAACAGAGTGGAGCAGAAATCACACCAGGAGGGGTTTAGGTTGGATATTAGGGAAAATTTCTTCCCAGAAAGGGCTGTCCAGCCCTGGCAGTGCTGGAATCCCCATTCCCGGAGGGATTTAGCAGCCATATGGATGTGGCACTTGGGGACATGGGTCAGTGGTGGCCTTGGCAGTGCTGGGGAAACATTTGGACTAGATAATCTTAAAACCTTTTCTATTTTCCAAATGATTCCACATTTGGGGACACCACAGCTACGAAAACACCCACAAATCCTTTATTTCCAGCGGGAAACGCTTTCCAGAGGTTTCACCTCGAAACCCCTTCCCCGGCTTCCAAATTTATTTTACCTTATGAAGTCTTCCTCCTCCTCCCTCTTGGGTCTCAGCTGCTTGGGCTGGGCCATGTTGCTCCAGTTGGGCAGGGATTTCAGGAGCCTGCTGATGTCGTCGTCCTTGGCCCAGGACGCGCTGATCACCAGCTTCTCGTCCGACTGCACGATGGTCCTGGGGGGGGAAAACCAGCCCCAAACACGTCACTGGGCTTCAGATCAACTCATCAACCCCCCCTGTCACACATCAATTAGGCAGCAAGGAAGGGATCTGAGGTGGAATTCTGCCAGGATGAGACAACACAGGTGGGCAGGACACGAAATTCTCTTAAACTCGGAACTCTTGGTGCACTTTGAGAGAGCCCTTGAAGGGAAAAAGGGCCAAGTTCTCCCCAGCCTTGAAATCATGCAGCTTGTGATGTTTGACACAACTGCAGGAGGGGTCATTTGGTGTCCCCCAGGCCTGTTTGTTCCCTGCAATCCCAGCTGAGCTGACACGTTGGGACTCTCCAATGTGGAGTCCTGCCCAGGAATTCCTGGGTGGAATCCACACACACCAGCTGGTCCAGGCCTGGAGCACTGGAGGGGAATGAAGCATCCAGGATCTTCTTTCCAGTCATCCCAAACATCAGATAACAGAGATTTCAGCTAAATCCTATGGGTGAAACCCCATCAGAGATCACAGCACATTCCAATTAGGAATATTAAACTTTCCCTGTTCAATGTTTTTGGCAGTGGAACTAACCTGAGTTCCTGACTGGCAATCTGAGGAGACAAACGGGATGCTGTGTTTGGAGGAGTCAATTATGAACTTTAAGAACCTTATTTCCAGCCCCCTGCCACGGGCAGGGACACCTTCCACAATCCCAAATTTCTCCAAGCCCCAACCTGGCCTTGGACACTTCCAGGGATGGGGCAGCCACAGTTTCTTTGGACTTTTGAAATGGAAAACAGTGGGGAAAAAAGGCTTTGAGACAGGAGCCAACACTGACCCACCTGGAACAGAGCAGATCAATTCTTTCCCCACTCATCACTCCCTTCCCCAAGAAAACAACCCCTGCTCAGGAACCACACAGGGCTGGTGACAATGAATTTGTCACATGCACTTACACATAAATTTTCCTTCTTTTCAAGTTCTACGTTCAATCTGTCACAGACAAAAGAGGGAATTTTGTTTCCAGCCACACAAGACCTCGGTGGCAACATTTGCTCTTGGCCTTCTGCTCCTTTCAGGAACTTGGTGTTTTTCCACTTAGGGGGAAAAAAAAAAAGGTCTCTTTTTTTTTTTTTTTACCTCAGTGATAACAGAATGAGGGGAGAAAAGCTCTCCACCAGCAACTCTGACATCTGACATGCAAAAAATCTGAATTTGATGATATCTGGCCATTTCTCTGCCAAGGCAAGACAACTGTTCCATTGGATGTATCAGTGCTTTGTCCTCTCCACATTTAAATGACTGAAGGACAGTTCCCTTCCCTTGGGAGGCTATTTCACAGTTGAACAAACCTAACTCTTGGATAAAAAAAAAACCAACAAAACCCTCCTGATACTGTGCTTTATTGTGTTTCATTTGACTCAGTTCCATCCCACTGCTCCCTGAGATTTCCCTTTATGGCCTCAGCTCTCACCACTCCCACTGTTTGGTCTCCTCAGTTATTTACAGCCTTCTCGTAGCCCTTCGGTTGTCCGTGACTCCAAGACATTTTGGGGAGTCTCCTGATGGATTTATAGGGAGGACAGAGCTCCCTCTCTGTGTTTTAGGATCCTCATTATCCCCCATCCTCTAAATTCCTGTTGCTTTGTGGAGTCAGTGCTGGGGGAGGGCAGAGGGGAGGATGTTTGGCTGCTGCAACAAGCTGCAAACTCAGCTTGGACTCCTGGCTTTTCTAAGAGAGTTTTCCAAGGGTCTAATCCACGTGACTCCCACTTTTCTCACCTCCTGGTGACGTGGTTCTCATGGGTTGTCACAGAATCATGGAATGGTTTGTAGTGGAAAGGACATTAAAGCTCATCCAGTCCCACCCCCTGCCATGGGCAGGGACACCTTCCCCTATCCCAGGTCGTTCCAAGCCCCATCCAACCTGGCCTTGGACACTTCCAGGGATGGGGAATCCTCTCTGGAGCCCTCACAGCCAAATTCTCCATGGAAATCAATAGGGAGCTTCAAAAAGTAATCCAAGCTGGGACAATTAACATGTCCCTGGGAATTATATCTCCACGTGTATCCCCTGGGAATTATATCTCCACGTGTATCCCCTGGGAATTATATCCCCCTTCTCTCCCATGGCTGCAACAGCTCCTAGTTTTTATTGGCAGGCTGGTTTTCCTCCAACCCCCCCCCCCCCATTAAGGAGATGTTAAATAGGGTGGGACATCCCCAACCTCCATCAGACACCCAGTTTTCCCCACCAATTCCAGCCGCCTTTTCCCACACCTTTTCCTTCCAGCATCTTCCAGCCAGTTTTTGACCTCCAGAACTTCCATCCGTGTCAGTCCTAAATCAGGTCCTGGAGTAAATCATCCCAAGGCAGGATGAGAGGTTTTGCTACAGCTCAAAATGCTTCCTTTCCAACTCCCACCTCCTCCTCCTTCTCCCAAACTCCTCAGTCATCATTCCTGCTGTTCCAATGAGGAATGCTGGGTTATCCCTGGCTGGATCCAGGGGCTCCATCACTCAGCAGGACAGAGGAGGGGGAAAATAAGATGGGAAAAAACTCTCATGGCTCGAGCTTTTAATTGTGGGACAGACATATATTTTGGAATATCAGCTTGGGCCAGCTGTGTCCCCTTCCCAAAATCCTGCCTTCTGGTGAGGGGGAATGTTGGAGAGATACTTGTGGCCAAAACACTGGTGTGTGACCAGCACTTTTCCAGCTCCAAATGGAAAAAATTAACTCCATCCATGGAGAAAATTAACTCCATCCCAGCCAGATCCAATGCAGGGTCACCTGCTTAACCAGTGACATGGTCACCTCATTAATCCCCAGCTCTCTGGGCCAAGGAAAATGCCATATTTTGGAATGATTCCTTTCTCTTCCCATGGCCAAGGTGATGTTTCCATGCTGAGCTCTGCTCAGTTAAAAATCCCAGATTTAAAATCCCAGGTACCTCCAGCCTGAGAGACACAAATCCTGCCCCAAAAAGAGCCAAACCCACAACTTAAACCCCCCAGAATTTAAAGCAAGAAGGGGAAGATGCCAACAAGAAGCAGCATTCCCTGGGGGAATCAAGAAATCCTGTCTGCCCACAGACCCCACGTTTTTGGATGAATTAATCTGCTCCTCGTTTCCTTATCAATTAAAAAAAAAAAGGGGGGTTTAGATTTATTTTGCCTGGCTGGAAAGCAGGAGAGATTTCCAGTCAGGTTTGGTTTTTTATTATTTCCCCTGTTTTGAGAGATCCAAGCCCAGTTATTTCCCACTGCACAAATTTAGGCTGAGTCCAGCTTGGTCACCACAAGCTGATGGAGAGAGCTGAGCACCTCCAGAGGGTTTAAGTCACTTTTTAATAGGATGAACCACTTTTTGGGGGCATCCACCTCTTTTCAGAGACTAAAAAAAGGCTCGTTTGGGTGAGGGATGCCTTTACTCAGAGCCTTCAAACAGGCTGAAAAATGTGCAAGATGATGGTTGCTCAAGGGAGAGAGGATGAAGATGAGGGTGGACACACAGGGTGGAGCCTAAAGCTGACAACGAAATAACTAAATATTGGCCAATTCCTGCAGAAAGACACGGGAAAAGATTAGTTTTAGCACTCAAGGTTGTCTGAGAAGGGTGTTGGAAAAGGTGAAGAAGCAACTGTGAACTGGTCAGGGTTCTCCCTGTCCCTGTGACACCTTGTATGGCCTTTTAGTGCCTCCCAAAGCCTCACAAAACTGGTTTTATCCCACAAGGAGAGCCACTTCCACAGGAATCTGCTGAAGGGTGGGGGCTGGACAAGGCTGAAGAAAAGCACTGCCAGCACAGCAGGAGGTTCTGGGGCTCTATCTCCCATTTTAATTGACATTTTCATCCCCAAGCCCTCTTATGGATTAGCTGGAAAACATTTGTTTGTGTCACGTTGAAATTGGAATTTGGATGGATGTGTAACTTTGCAGGAGACACCTCACCTCCATTAAACACAAAACTTCTGGAATTCCTCATCCATTAAAACGTGGAATCCCGGGGTTGCTACTTAGATAAATGTCCAAGCCATTCATATCCAGCCCTGCTGGGTTTCCCTTTTCATAATCCCTAAGGAATAGGAGCCAAATGGGACTCGGACACGGACAATCCCAGCTGTGCCTTTCCTGGTGTTGTTCCTTCCAGTCCTTCCTGAGCTTCTCCACAAAGAAAATCTCCCTTGGAGGAGCCTCTCCTTGAGCACATTTCACTCATTTTTGTCCATATTCCCCTTGAAGAAACACAGGGGGAAGGAACCAATGCCACGTGCAAATCCTACATCCCCAGGCTTCCCAAATTCCCACTGCCTTGACATCCCAAGAAGAGACGCTCCCTTGCTCCGGGAGATCAGTTCCCAGCTCTGATAAATCAATTTATCCGGATTTTACGCAGCTAAAAATAACCCTCCCTCCACTAAATTTCGAGATTTGCCCAGCTCAGCTCCAAGGAAAAACCCTGGAGCAGAGGGTGAGGCTGCCTGGAGCCGTAGGGATCCGAGATCCCTGCAGAGGGCACAACATCCCTGCGGATGGAACCGCCCAGCAAAACCTGGGAGCTTGCTCTGCTCCTCCACATCATTTGAAATGGATATGGATTTCTATTTCTATTTTCACTCGCTCATTTGCCAGCAGCAAAAACGAGAACATTTCCTGTTTCTCCTCCTCCTCCCGCTTGTAATCAGGAGATCACCAAATTAGGCCCGGCCTAATTACTCCCTCAGCAGGTGCCAAAGCCAGGAATGGCACCAGCAAAAAAAAAACAAACCAGGAAGGAAGGAAGGACCTTGGAGTTCAAGCCAAACAAATCACATCTATTGTCTGGCTCCAGGCAGCAAAGTTTTCCTATAAAAAAGGAACATTTTGGACAATGGCCCACGGGCAGGGAGCAATTCCTGTGAGAGTTCAGGCGAAGTTTATTATTAATAATAATAACGAGCTGCTCAGCAGATGAAGCTTTTCCTCAATGAAACCAGGCAATGGGAAAGAATTCCTTGCTCAGGAAACACAAGGGGCTTTTTCAGCTTCCCCCTGCCACGAGCAAGCCCCAATTAGCCATTAAGGGGATTATGGAGAGCAGCAATTACTGCCCACATTTAGTGGCTTTCAATGGCACTATTTATCCCTGCATGATCCTGGTGCTCCTCTCCAGGGAGAGGGCCATTTTACAGCTGGAATACTGGGATGGACAGAGAAGAAGGTATTTATTGACAGTGACACAGGAAAACTGTGATAAATCAAATACCCAAAGGGCTTCAAGGGAACAACCCCATGTCCAGTGGGATCACGCTGCCTTCGGCTCCCACACCGTGGCCAGGGAAGAAGTTAGAGATGGATCATCCCTAAAATGCTGATGAGCAAGGAGGGAGCATTTGATGGCCCCCCTGAAAGAGTAAATTTACAGAATTGTGTTGGGAGGGGTTCACAAAACCCAGTGTGTGTGGATTTACAGGGTTATTAATCCCCAGAATCAGAGAATCCTAGAAATGTTCCAGTTGGAAAAGTCCTCTGAGATCATGGAGTCCTCCCACTCCCCCAGCACTGCCAAGGCCACCAATGACCCACATTCCCAAATGCCACATCCACATGGATTTTAAATCCCTCCAGGGATGGGGACCCCACCACTGCCCTGGGTAGCCCCTTCCAATGCCTGACCACCCTTTCAGGGAAGACATTTCCCCTGATTATCCAATCTAAACCTTCCCTGGTGTAACTCAGAACCATTTCCTTCCCACACTGAAATTCCTGCAGTGCCATGAGACCCGAGTACCCAGATCTCAACTTAATTAATTCAAATTGAGCTGAATCCCTTGCAAATGCTCCAGTGAAGAACCTGATTTGCTTCACAAGAGAGTAACAGCCACAAACAGCTGTTTAGTTTAAAGATGGGACTTCATACTCTCAGTTTGCAACCTGAGGTGACCTTTTATCACAGAGTCACAGAGTGGTTTGGGTTGGAAAGGACCTTCAAGACCATCCAGTTCCAACCCCGACACCTCCCACTCTCCCAGGTTGCTCCAACCTGGCCTTGGACACTTCCAGGGATCCAGGGGCAGCCACAGCTTCTCTGGGCAACCTGTGCCAGGGCCTCCCCACCCTCAGTCAAGGATTTCTTCCCAATCTCTAATCTTCCTACTCTCTGTCACTTTGAAGCCATTCCCTGTGTCCTGTCCCTCCCTGCCTTGTCCCAAGTCTCTCTCCAGCTCTGCTGGAGCCCCTTTAGGCCCTGGAAGCTGCTTAAGGCAAGAGCTGGACTAGTTTCCAAGCTCTACCACCACTGTCATCCACACTCCAAGAGCCTAAACCACGGTGTGATGTGGATAAAGCCGAGACCCTCCACGGGATCCTTATTTCAGCTTTTTTCCCCCGCCTGGAAAGAAACCTCCGTGACCATCCCGGCACAGGCGATTCCAGAAGCGACTCCTGCCTTCCCAGGGCAAAATCCCAACACGCCAAGAGCAGGTGAACTGGTCTCCAAGCCTTGGTACCTGTAGGCCAGGGTGCAGGTGTCCTTGTACTCCTGGAGCTTCACGCACACCATGTTGAGGAACTGATCCGAGTACGCGCTCAGGTCGTGCATCAGGTTCATCAGGTCCTGCACCGTCTTCTCCACGATCACTGTGCTCTGGGAAAGGGAACAGAAGCCAAGGGATTGATGCCTCAAAGCTTTCTGTTGTTTGTTTTGGTTTTTTTTTAACTTCTGTAGATTTTAGAAGTAGTTGTGTAGTGACTGTAGATTTTAATGTCGCTGTATTACATCCCTTACCCTTAACACAGCAGTTACACATCCCCAACTCTGTTACCCCACCCCATATCAATCCTTCTGAATTCCCTCAGCTACTCTTGTAGCTTATCAGGAGAAGGATCTGTCCAGGATCTTCCAGGATCCTCAGGAAGACCCAGAAGGATCTTCCAGGACCCTCAGGTGACAACAAACCTCTTGGGTTGGACGTGCAACCATACAAGGAGGAATCAAACCTGGTCTCGATCCAGCTCATCTCGGTTTCTTTACGGAACTCAACATTAAAAAAAACACAAACAGCTTATAAATCCACAACTTCATGTAACAACTTAAAAATCTACAACTTCATGTAACACCTTAAAAATCCACAGCTTCATGTAACAACTTAAAAATCTACAACTTCGCATTAAAAGACAAGGCATTGCTGGTTTCTACGTGGCTTCTCCCACTTATTTCTGCTCCCTGCAACATGAGAAGCCTGCCAATGCCTGGATGTCACAATGAAACCTTTGGATTTTGGAATAAACCCTTTGGATTTCAGGGAAACACAAAGCCACCGGGATGATTAAAAAAAAAAAACGGGAGGGGCGAAAAAGGGAAATTACCATATGAAAGGAGGCACTGCCAGACACTTTAAGGGCTATTTTTCTGGGACATCTTAGCCTCTTCCAAAGCAATCCTGACACATCTGCCCGAGCCTCTGGGGACACTCTGTGTTGCCAGGACAGCTGGATTCGTTAGCAGGGCCGGGGGAATCCTCTGAAAGTCGGCGCCGGGAAAATGAAAGGCAGCGCTCGTGTTATCCCAGAGTTACAACCCAGTTGCCTCTGACCCATCCGGGTTCATTAAGAGCAAATGGATGTGATCAAAGGATAATTTCGTGGCGAGACACTTCAATGGAGGCTTTAAAAAAAACCCAGCAAACCCACAGTAACAAGGAGGCTCAGCCACGGAACAACGCGGGTCCCCTCGCAGCTGACACAGGATAAGCAGACCTGGAGATGTTGTTTCAATAATTCCTTTGGGATTATTGGCTCATGCGAGTTTTCCAAAGGACTGGATTCATTTACAGCAGGAGAGCACTCCAGGTAAAAGAGTCCAGCTGGAGGGGAGTTTGTAAAGATCCCTTAAAATGCAGTTTCAGGACAAGGAAGTTGGTTCCCAACCATCCTCGACACGTGGAAGTTCAAAACAATGGGTCAAGGCTACACAAACTTCCAGGTTTTCATGGAATGGTTTGGGTTGGAAGGGACCTGAAAGGTCATCTCTTTCCACTCCCTGCCATGGGCAGGGACACCTTCCACTATTCCAGGTTGTTCCAAGCCCCGTCCAACCTGGCCTTGGACAATTCCAGGGATTCAGGGGCAGCCACAGCTTCTCTGAGAAATTCATTCCAGCCCCTCCTCGCCCTCCCAGCCAGCAATTCCTTCCCAATATCCCACCTATCCCTGCCCTCTGGCACTGGGAAGCCATTCCCTGTGTCCTGTCCCTCCAGGCCTTGTCCCCAGTCCCTCTCCAGCTCTCCTGGAGCCCCTTTAGGCCCTGCCAGGGGCTCTCAGCTCTCCCTGGACCCTTCTCTTCTCCAGAGGAATCCCCCCAGCTCTCCCAGCCTGGCTCATTCCCCCAATTTCCAATTAAACTGAGCCCCCTTTTCCAGCCTCTCAGGTCAGAACCAGCCAACCTCTCCCTCTGTGGTTTCCCACACCGTGCAGGACACGGATTTAACTCTGGGCTGCAACTCAGCTCTTCTTCCCTGTCCTGAGTGACCACTGGGGGCTGATTTTCACTCACAGCAACTGATTTGTCCCAGCAGAAACTAATTTTGCCACCACCAAGACAGAATAATGTGGAGGTAACTCCACATGGAAAACTTTTTCCAAGGAGAAATTCTCCACTCCATGATCTGCCCTACAGAGCAACTGGACTTGATGGTTGTGACACTTCTTCTCTTCAGAAATAAGCCCAGAAAAAGGGAAAAAAAATCCTTTTCTTTGTGACCTCCTGAATACCTATGGCTTTGGAATACTTTCCAAGCTCCTGATTTCCTTTATCCCAACCTTCCAAGGCAGAGCTCCAAAGCAGATGGGAGCTGAAGATGGGTCAGAGCAGAGCATAAATGAGCTTTGTGTTTTTTAACAGTGTAATTACCCACACTAACAGTTTGGGGTCCTGGATCCTCCATCCCTGAGAGGCTCCAAATCAGGCACAGGTGCCTCCCTGAAAGATTCCGGAGTCAGGGATTTGATGAAGGAATTGCCGGGTGAAGAAATCACCGGGTGAACTTCCAGGGCTGATTGTGCTGCACATCTCACATGTATTTATTCTGATTTTGAGCTCCAAACAACTCCATGCCCAAGTTATGCTTAAAAAAACCCCCAGCCAACAAAAAAGCACCTTCCCATCCCAGGAGCTCTGGCCCGGGAATATCTCAAAGCAGTGGAATTTTGATTCTCCAGAGCCAGCAAAGCAAAAATGTCCACTCAAAACACACCGAAACTATCTCGAGCTCCTGAATTCCCCATGGCAAACCAGGAATTCCCAGCACACCAACCCTCACAGCCAGCGTGCCCAGGAGATTCCCAGCAGGACAAAAAGGGTTGGATTCAATGGGAAGGATTCAATGGATTCAATTAAGGTGAAGGTTGGAAAGGACCTCTCAGATCATCGAGTGCAACCACCAACCCACCGCTAAACCACGTCCTCAGGTGCCACATCCACGTGGTTTCTGAACACTTCCAGGGATGGTGATCCCACCACTTCCCTGGGCAGCCCATTCCCGATGCTTCACATCCCTAAAACCACCAAGAATCCCCCTGCCAAGGTGGTCCCACCTCCAAAAATCACAGCCTGGAAGTATCCACTGGAGGAGACACCATTCCATAGTCTTCAAACCACCAAACACACATCCCTGATCCCAAGCTGACCCCGGTTACAAGCTCAAAAAGCAGGGAATAGACAAGTTATCACTTGGATAAGGATTTATTCCCAGTGCAGTGCAGATGAGCAGGGAAGGAAAAATCTGGTTGCCCACAGGGGGGAAAGTTTGTGCCAGTCCCACCTTCCAGCCCTTATTTTCCTCTCCCATCTGAGGCTCTGGCACTTGAGACATTTAAATTCTCCTGGAATGATGCAGCAGTAACAGCATAATAAGGAATATCAGTGCCTTGGCAGGGAGATGGACTGGATAATTTAGCAGCTCTTCTGGATCTCTGATCCTGCTGAGTTCCAGGGCTGTTATTAAAGGCATTTTTTAAGGGATTTTAATTTACTCCTCTAAATGGATTCCCATCCATTCACTCCCCCCCCCCCAGTGAATGTTGTCAGGGACATTAGGGAGGTGATAAAATAGCTGGAGCTTCCCTGCTGCTTTTAATGTGTTCCATACACAGGGAAAGTCATTAGCTCTTCCCCTTTAATCCACTCTCTCCACAACAGTTTATCACTTCAAAGTGCCAAACACTCTCCCTTTATTAATCCATGGACATTTTTGCAAGGAAAAGGAGGCACAGCCATTCATTGCCAGCATAGTTTGTACCATGAGAGCTCGGCCTTGACATTTCTCCCCCTTCTCCTGCCCAGAATATTCCTACAAGTGGCTCTTCTCCGGGTTTTCCAGGGCTCTCCTGATTAGAGGGAAGCTCCTGGCGAGGTGATAATTTATTTTGTGTGTGGCAAGTGGCAGGTTTTCCCAATCCTTTGTAGTCCTGGCTCTGGAACATCATAGAATCCCAGAATCAGCCAGGTTGGAAGGGACCTCCGAGCTCATCCAGCCCAACCCTTGATCCAACCCCGCCGTGGTTCCCAGCCCATGGCACTGATGCCACATCCAGTCTGTCCTTAAACACCTCCAGGGACGGAGAATCCCCCACTTCCCTGGGCAGCCCATTCCAATGGCTGAGCACTCTCCATGGAAAACATTCCTTCTGATGTCCAACCTGCCCCTGCCCTGGCCCAGCTTGAGGCCGTGCCCTCTTGTCCTACTGCTGGTTCCCTGGAGCAGAGCCCGACCCCCCCCGGCTCCCCCCTCCTGGCAGGGAGTTGCAGAGAGTGAGGAGGTCTCCCCTGAGCCTCCTCCTCTCCAGGCTGAGCCCCCCCAGCTCCCTCAGCCTCTCCTCCCAGCACTTGGGCTCCAGTCCCTTCCCCAGCCTCGCTGCTCTTCTCTGCCCCTGCTCCAGCCCCTCCAGGGCCTTCCTGAGCTCAGGGCCCAGAGCTGGACACAGCACTCCAGGGGTGGCCTCCCCAGCGCCCAGCCCAGGGGCACAAGCCCTGCCCTGCTCCTGCTGCCACACTCTTCCTCAGCCAGCCCAGCAGCCCTTGGCCCTCTTGCCCCCCTGGCCACACTCGGGCTCCTCTTCAGCTCCCTGCCCAGCCCCACTCCCAGCTCCCTTCCTGCCTGGCTGCTCTCCAGCCCCTCTGGCCCAGCCTGCAGCTGCAGGGGCTTCTTGTGGCCAAAGGGCAGGACCCGGCCCTTGGCCTTGGGCAACCTCAGCCCCTTGCAATCAGCCCCTGGATCCATCAGCCTGGCCAGCATCGTTAGCAGCTGCTTCATGAGACAAACTGCACAAACTGCACGTGGGCCACGGAATTAATGATGCTCAGAAACAGCCCATCAGTCCCAGAGCGTTTTAACAAACGTTTGGAGAACAAAACCCATCTGGTTTGTTTTTATGGATACTCCCTGTGCTGGTTTTTGCATTTAAAACACAGTTATCTGTTCAAAATGACCTACTGCAGAGGGGGCAGCCCCGGGAGGGGAAGGCACAGCGACCATGAAAAGAGCAGCTGAGTGAGGAAAAAACAAAAGGATTTGGGAAAAAAAATAGATGGAGAAAAGCTTGGTGGGCTGAGGCCCTGAAGATGATGATGATGTTGTGCCCCTGGAT